CTGCCCTCAGCCTCCTCTTCCCCAGCCTAAACAGCCCCAGTTCCTTCAGTTGCTGAAGGAATCCTTCAGTGATCTTTGAAAACTTAAGAATCACCTCAGCCCTCCATTTTCCACGTCCATTCAGGAGCACACTCCTTCTATAAGCACACAGAAATCCAGTTGGAAAGCTGGCTGGTCTAGAAGCTCCACCTCTGCAAAGATGGCACTGTGTTGGAGTGCCAGGGGATGCAGTCAGAACCCCAATGGACAGAAGCAGAATATAAGAATGAAATGAAGAAAACACACAGGAGCTGAAGAAATTTGTTTCATTCATGCACTTGGAGATGTTGTAAATGTTGTAAAACATCCATAAAATACATGCTATTCATTCCCTGCCTTTGCCAACACAGTTAAGTAGAAAAATAAACATGAAAAAGCCATGGGACAGTTTAAACAAATAAAATGCTTGCCTTGCCCATTCCTGATTTACTGCTTTGCCTACAGTGATCAACATTTACAGCTTTTCAGCTGTTTCTCATCACAGTCATAGGGAATGCTCTTTCTTTTCCAGTCCCAGTGCAAAATGCAAACAAATGCAAACTGTGCTAAAATGGTTAGAAATACAGTTTCAGCCTTTCTGAATTCAGAAAGGATAGAAAGCCTGGAGAAGAGAAGGCTGCAGGGTGACTCATTGCAGCCTTCAGTACCTAAAGGGAGCCTACAAACAGGAGGGGAGTCAGCTCTTGGGAAGGGGAGATAACAGCAGGACAAGGGGAAATGGTTTGAAGTTGAGGGAGGGAAGATTTCAGTTGGATGTGAGGGGGAAGTTGTTTGCTGTGAGAGTGGTGAGGTGCTGGAACAGCTGCCCAGAGAGGCTGTGGATGCCCCGTCCATCCCTGGAGGTGTTCAAGGCCAGGTTGGATGGGGCCCTGGGCAGCCTGGGCTGCTATGAAATGTGGAGGTTGGTGGCCCTGCATTGGTGGGGGGTTGGAGCTTTGTGATCCTTGAGGTCCCTTCCAACCCAGGCCATTCTGTGACTCTGTGATTCTGTGAAAATCACAAAATCAGTGCTGAAAGTGACCCCCTATTAAGAGCAAACAGGCAGGACAGGAGAAGAAAACCTCTTGCTCCTTCATGAACTGTCTAGATATAATACTTAACAACTGGAAAAATGTAGAAGGAAAAATTCCTGACCCACTAACACACGTTCTTAGAAGCTCAAATCTCTTCTGAAATAGGCCTTCAAAAACAATAAAGAGAAACAGCTGAGCAGAGGCAGAAACGTAGCAATCAGTTTGCACCCAAGGGCTTTGCATCTCTGCACCAAGGCACAAAACAAAGGCCTCACCTCCTCCCCTGCCTTTCTCTATAATTACAGCACAAAACACACAGCACTGTGACCACAGCCTAACACTCCCATTGCACTGTTTTACTGTTCCGTATTCTTGCCAGACTGCCTGGACCATCTGTCATTCTGTCTTATACTTCGTTTGTAAGTTGTTCAAGCAGCTCTGTTTGCTGTTTACATCTGAGCAGCTCCTAAAGCTAAGTCAGGAGCCTCAGTGTACAACAAAACACAGCGGCTGCTGCCAACCAAGGGACTCAGTGCAGCATAAATTACAAGTGAATGGTGTTTCAAGGCTAATGCTATGCACAAGTGTTCTGTGTCAGTGCCTTTCATCAGAAACAAATGTGTAAGGATGAGGAAAAAAGAAAACTAGGAAAAAAATCAAGTTTGGATTGGATAAGAGCAGGGGTGTACAGAGATGAGGTGTTGTGCTTATACACACAGCAAAGAGAGATGGGAACCCCTTCCAGGAGCCATTCCAGAAATGTTCTGCCCTGTGCAGCTCAGTGTGGGTGATGGAATAGGAGCAAACTGCTCCCACAGCCATGCACTGTGACCCAATGGCACCAAAGCAGTGCTGCCTGATGGGCTGCATAAGCTCGTGGGGGTTCAGCAACACATGAGAAATGCTTGCACCACAAACCAGCACAGCTGCCCGCATTTGTGCCTGGTTAATACAGCATGCCTCTTCACATTTTGCTAAAATGTAAAAAAAAACTATCAATATCATTTTCTTGAGATACTTTTCTTTGTTCTAGCTCTTGTTTCCTTTTGCAGATACTGAAATGGCCTAAATGGGAGGGGAAAAAAAAGAATGATGGAAGAGGAAAACAATGTTAAAGTATGGAAAAATGAATCTGTGCACAAAAGAATTGCAGGTGGTTGGGATGCTGCACTGACTGGAAGCAGAATATAAAATAAATTCCTTTTTATTATTACAGAGGATGTAAACTTCTCTCACAACACGAACCACTCTATGAAAAAGTGCAAAGCCACCAGTGCCTCCTGACCTGCAGTGGCAGAACTTCCATGGACTGCAGTGGTTATACCTACATGTCATACTGGAAGAGGCCACAGTAAGACACTGCCACTACAGCATTCTGTCCCACTCCTTGGGTGCCCACAGAGGAGCCCCCAATGAGCCACAATCTGCTGGATGCAGTTGGTTTTAATGTGGTCATCATTTTGGAAAGTTTAACTGTGAATTAATTCTGCAGGTCACAGCAGAAGATGGATGGAAAGCAAAGTTCTTGACAGAGAGAGTGGTGAGGTGCTGGAACAGCTGCCCAGAGAGGCTGTGGATGCCCCGTCCATCCCTGGAGGTGTTCAAGGCCAGGTTGGATGGGGCCCTGGGCAGCCTGGGCTGCTGTGAAATGTGGAGGTTGGTGGCCCTGCCTGTGGTGGGGGGTTGGAGCTTCATGATCCTTGAGGTCCCTTCCAACCCAAGCCATTCTGTGATTCTGTGATTCTGTGATCTGCATGAACAAAGATCATACACTCTTCACTCTATGATGCTTTTACATTGTCACTTTAATATCAATTTTTCCACTTTCCTATGAAAAAAAACAATGCTTTCCAGTTTGAGTACACTTTGGTGAAAAAAATGTGATTTGTACTTTGTGAGGTTGTTTTATTCCCAAAGATAGGTTATAGCCTTCGGAGGACTCCAGCACCCTGAGCTGCTACAACGTCACCAAGTTGTTCTGTATACCTAAATGAAAAAAATCACAGAATCACAGAATGGTTTGGATTGGAAGGGACCTCAAGGATCACGAAGCTCCAACCCCTCGCCACAGGCAGGGCCACCAACCTCCATATTTCAGAGCAGCCCAGGCTGCCCAGGGCCCCATCCAACCTGGCCTTGAACACCTCAGGGATGGACGGGGCATCCACAGCCTCTCTGGGCAGCTGTTCCAGCAAAATGCACTATTTGAATTTCTAATAAACAGTGCAACAAGGAATCAAGCTCACAAGCTCAGAAAAGGGACTTGTGGTGGCTGGAGGAAGAAGGCTTTGGGCGGTGGCTTCCTGGCATTAAGAAAGAGTTACCAGGATGCCAGGTCAGGGCTACCAGTGTGTTCCATGGGGAACACAGAGGCAGTGGTTTCTTCCTGCCTCAGTGGCCACGAGCACTGACCACTAGCAGACAGGATACAGAGTAGGGAATTTCAGTCTTGCAGTGCTATAATTGTTTTAGTGGGCAGATAGAAGAAACCCCAGGGTGAAAAAGCAAACATTCCTGACCAAACTGCTCCCATGTCATCTTTCAACCAACTGGATAATTTCCAGTTGGCACAGATTTTGTTTCGAAACAAGAACTGGAAAGTAGACTAATCCTATCTTACAGCTAAAAACAGCACTGCTTTTCATCAAAATCATTTTCATTTCCTGATGTGAAAAATATATCAGTAGCAGCACGATATTAAAAAGATACCAGACTGGCATTATGAAACCAAAGCTGCTCTCTGTTAAGGCTTGTATCCAGAGCTGTTAGGGAGGCAGCAAGAAGGCAACAAAGGCAGTGGCTGGCAACCAGAAGGGTAACCAAGTGGGGACTCTGCTTTTTAGTAATAAAACCAAGTAGGACATTCATATAGGTGGCACCTTGCAGAGTGCAGCTTCTTGCTGCAAGGCACTGTTTGGCTATGTCTTTGTCTCCTGAAGTTATCTAATGGCACCCAAGTCCATAGTGTGCATTTCAAGGAGTCTGACTTTGAAGTAAGACTTCCAAAGTACTTGAGTTTGGTGCATCTACATTGTAAGTGACATAAAAATCCATGAGAACAGCAAGTCGAGAGGGTCCCATTTGGCCCAGCCTGGTGTGCATGCACCCACCTGCAAAGCCCTGTGCTGCTGAGGCCTTGCTCACCAGAAGCTCCAGAACAGAATTCACACTTTTCAGTCTCAATACGAATGGAGCTAAAGGTACAAGTGTTTCCTTAATCAGTATGGAATACTGAGATTTAATTAAGGACAAACTGTCAACTAGAAGTGAACCCATTCAGCCTGTAAAAGTCCCTCAGCACAGCCACAGACTCTCTAAGAGGTACACAGATCATAAGCACAGTAGATCCAGGCTTGGTACAGATACACCTGCAATTTGATAGAGAACATGTAGGGTTAGATAAATGAAGAGCTTGAAAGCAATAGTAGTGTCTTACAGGTGAGTCACAAAACAGTCATTGAAAATATGCTCCTTTGCAGCTATTGTCTGCTATGTTTTACACACACTTGGCACATTCCCATTTATCAGTTTTCCCATATCTACACAAATTACTTTTACCACAAAGTAAATTCTCCTTATTGAAGACATTGGAAACTTTCTGTGCGTAAAATCCTTCATGCCCTTCTGCTCTTCTTGTTTCACACTATATACAATAGTTACAGCCTAAGCAGCACTTTTAGCAAACATCTAACCAGTGACATTCAGAAATGTTCTGTTATGTTTTGGATGCAGCAGGCACTGGGTCATCTGCTTCAGGACTGCTACTGGATGCCAAGCAAACGTTTTCATTTCGCAGCACTTAGTGACACTGAGGTCCTTCCCCTTAGCCCAAGAAATATCACTGCTTTGGGAGCCAGGACTGCGTGCGGCTTAAATCACTGCTGTAAATCACTGTCGTTTTTCAACACTTCCAGCCTGGTTATCTGCTACGAAAGCAAGACATAGACATCTCAAAACCTTTCATCTTTATTCATTCACTATAAAAAAAAATCAACCTCCCAAATCTCTAAAACTTAAGTATATCAGTAATTTACTTCTGCCCAACAGAAGCAGCGTACTTGTTACTATTACGGCCCCTTGTTTGGCTTTGATCCCAGCTGTTATCATTAGTAAGAATGTATTTTCTTTTTCCTTCAGTTCAAGGATGTGGTGCTGGTCCAGGGCCCAGCAGCAGCTGCAGGAAGCCAGCCGGTCGCACAACCCTGCAGTCCAGCTGTTTGTAAAGCTAAAGGCAGAGCTTCTCACACTTGGTACTTTTCTTCTTAGGATCTGTAAACAAGACAATGATGACATCTCATTTTACAGACCAAAAATATACATCTGAAAAGCCTAACTAGGCTGAAGAGACAACAGCCCATCTGCAGCACCAAGCCTCAACCATGCTGCGGCCACATCAGCAAGGAGCCCAGACTGACCAACTGCTGCTCCACAGGATCATAGTGAGTCCAAGAAGGTTTCAACACTACTCACAGCTTGACAGCACATTCAGAAAGTGCCTGCCTGCTGCAAAGTATCCCGAGCATCAGGAGGGGCCACGCCCCCAACCGCAGTGACTGTTTCACAAGCACTGCAAAGCCAGTGCTGGCACACTTCTGCTTTAGGCATTGTTTAAAACCTGTGCGCCCACCTTATAGGAGTTATAAAGTGATGTTACTGCAACAGTGACAAGCTGAGCAGTGTGAAAGCGTTAGTCAAAATACCTACTTTCCACATCTGCTTTATACCACCTGCCCAGCTGCCTTGCCAAAGAACAAAGGTGGCTGATTTCACAGAATCACACAATCACAGAATGGCTTGGGTTGGAAGGGACCTCAAGGATCATGAAGCTCCAACCCCCCACCACAGACAGGGCCACCAACCTCCACATTTCACAGCAGCCCAGGCTGCCCAGGGCCCCATCCAACCTGGCCTTGAACACCTCCAGGGATGGACGGGGCATCCACAGCCTCTCTGGGCAGCTGTTCCAGCACCTCACCACTCTCTCTGTCAAGAACTTCCCCCTGACATCCAGAGGAATGACATCAGAGGGATGTCATTCATTTATCTAACCCTTTGTTTTTATTGTTAGTCCATTATCCGTCCAACTCTTTATACAAACACACGAGAAATTGGTCATACATGAATTCTCTCTGCAGCACCATGTGCTGTCTTCTTGCTGTTAGTGGATCTACACACTGTGCTCCTCTTTCCTCTTAGGCATTACAGAACTTTTCTTGCCCTCCTTAAAATTCACCAATATTTGAAATCCATTTTGTGAGGCACTGGAACAGGTTGCCCAAGGAGGCTGTGGATGCCCCATCCCTGCAGGCATCCAAGGCCAGGCTGGATGTGGCTCTGGGCAGCCTGGGCTGCTGGTTGGCGACCTGCACACAGCAGGGGGTTGGAACTGGAGGAGCACTGTGGGCCTTTGCAACCCAGGCCATTCTGGGATTCTATGATTTGTACACTAGATTGTCACTTCACATATAAATCCTTGAAATGCTGATCTAGCCACAACAAGTTCATACTGTATGTCCCATCTGTCCTCTGCATCAGGATGGATAATCTGCATTACGCACTCAAAAGTGCCTTTTTAACTGCTAATTCTCGTGCCCTCCTTAGCGCTTGGATAATCTGCTCAGGAGACACTATTCAGCAGCTCCATAAGATTGGAGAAGATGACTTTACAAAGAAAATAACTTTCCTCACCCATCTGATCTCAGACTGTCTTTTCAAAAGCTCACTTCATCATCTTTTCCATCAGAAGTACTTGCCATGAACAGTTTTTTCCATTAACTGCTAACAATGAAATCTGAAATCAAACACAAATTACCTACATCCATTTGCTGAAAGTAGTGTCACCCAGAACACTCTCACAATTTGACGCATTGCATCTCAACCTGTTTGGAAACTTTCAAAAGTGCATACAGAGTGTTGTTTAGTAGTAGTATCAACTAATACATGAGATGATAACAAGAAGGGAAAGCAGTTCCTCCTCACATTCTGGAAAGATGAAGCAGAAAGGAAGACAAAGTAGAAATGCATTGAAAATATAAGAGGTCCTGGTAAGGCTTACGAAGTACGTTCTGCCACAAGCATGTGTAGCTTCATTCAGCCCCATCCAGCTGCTTAGTCCTGTCGGAGACACGTAATGGCAAAGCCTTCTGAGCAGCAAGCTGAAAGGAGAGGGGCAGCAGCCAAGGAACACTGCATGGAGGTTGTTACCTGGAGGCAGGAAAGGAGCCTCCAAAAGGTGCTGGGACACTGATGAGCTTTCAAGATTAATTTACTTATTCACTATTTATCAGTGATACTAACCTGCTTGGAACCAACATAAGTTCACAGGCGAAAAATCCTGTTTAATTAACCTTACCTCCTCTGACCACTCTGCTGACCAAGGGAAGTCAGTTGATGCCATCTTTTTACATTTCACTAAAGCCTTCCATACTGTTTCTGACAGGATCCTTCTGGGAAAAAAAGGCCAGAGTACAACAAGGCAAAGACCTGTGGTGGGTGATGGATGAACACCTGGCTGACAGGCTGGGCTACAGAGGTTCCAGTAAGAGGGTTACATCAAACTGGCAACCAGTGTTGGGCTCCTGCAGGGCTGCATTTTAGGGCATCTTCAGGCTTTTTATCAGTGCCTTGGATGAAGGGCTTGAAGGAAAACTGGATAAGGCTGGATGGCACTAAATTGAGAGGAGCTGCTGACTCCTTTGAGGAAGAGGCCTTGTAAAGAAAACTTGACAAGTTGCAGGCCTGGGAAATCTGCAGCTGGGATGGGGCAACCCTGGTGATAAGTACAGACCAGGGGATGAGAGGCTGGAGAGCAGCCCTGCTCCTATGGCAGCGTTGAGGATCAATAAATTCTTTCCTATGAGAGTGGTGAGGTGCTGGAACAGCTGCCCAGAGAGGCTGTGGATGCCCCGTCCATCCCTGGAGGTGTTCAAGGCCAGGTTGGATGGGGCCCTGGGCAGCCTGGGCTGCTGTGAAATGTGGAGGTTGGTGGTCCTGCCTGTGGTGGGAGGTTGGAGCTTCATGATCCTTGAGGTCCCTTCCAACCCGGGCCATTCTGTGATTCTGTGATTCTGTGTGCTCAGGAACCAGCAGGGTGCTGAGGAACCAGCAGGGCCAGCCCTGCCTTGGGAGCACCAGAGCCAGCACTGCCAGTGGGCCAGGGAAGGAACGTCCCACTGTGCTCTGTGCAGCCTCACCTCCAGCACTGGGTGCAGTGTTGGGTGCCAGTCCTGAAAGGACATGAAGCTGTGAGAGAGCATTCTAATGAGGGCTACAAAACTGGAGAAGGGCCTACAGGGGACACGTGAGGGGTCCCCTTGGGCTGGTGGGCCCCGAGCATAGCAGGCTGACAGGAGGCCTTTCGGCAGCTGCAGCTCCTCACAGGGAGCGCTGGGACACCACACTCAGCAAGGTGGGCTTTGGGGTGCTGTGTGGGGCCTGGGGCTGGAATCGATGTCCTTTGGGGGTATGTGGTGACTCTGAGATCTGGTTTCCCACAGCACCATTTGCTGCGCAGGATCCTTCACTGCTTACTCAGTCAGAGCTAGTGCTGTCAAGGGCTTTTCTGAGCATCACCAGAAATACCAAATGAAGGCAATTAAATGTGTCTTAGGAACACTGATGTTATGAGAAAGTGATCTGCTGTCAGGAATTAACATGAACAAAGCAGAAAATAAACTTCTTATCTAGACAGAGAGCATAGGCTGGAGTCAAACTTTATAGCTGTACGTGCCTTCAGATGCACTGCCAAGGAGAAAAAGGGGGAGAGGTTTACTATTTGTCCAGAAAAAATAATAATTAAGCTTACACATGCAGCTCTAGCACCAGTCTAAATATGTGGATGGACAACAGAAAACCCTGCAACAACTGAGCAGTAGTGAGCAGCAGTCAGTCACTTTGCTTGGCCAGCTTCTCAGCCTTGGCAATGTGTGTTATTCAACTGTCTGATAAACCCTGCTACTCTTTTTGCTCAGCATTTCTTCACAAGGAAGAATTCACTGCTTGAAATCACACTGTCATGGTTGCTGCATTCTGCAGATGATAATATCTTCCAAAGCAAATATGTTGCTTGGCATGCAAATGATGAAAACTTAGCAGATTATTTAGGTATTAAAGGAAGAACCAGCCAACCATAAAGCATATCCATTAATCTACAGATAAAGTGTTTGTTAAAATAGAGATGGAACAGATGTTTGTCTGAAAAAATGCAGCTTCTCTCAACATCAAACCTTAGGTCATGTTAAGAAGCAACAACTATTGGTAATGCTTGAGAGAAAACGATGTACACACACAGGCCTGCAGAGGAACATCACTCCACATCACTACAGACCTGAAAACAGCTTAGCCCAGCAAAACTTCTTTGGGGAAAAGAACCTCCTTGTCTCCTTCTTCCCACAAAAACAAACCAACTAACCCAGAAGATCTGGGTCCTTTACTTGGATCATAAAAGATTTCACAGATGGCAAACTTTATATAAAAATAACTATCTGGTACAGAATATAGGAACAGAAGAGGTTATAAAACAGGTGCTAACAGGATTCTTTTGGTAGTCATGCTGCTGTTTGCTTTCCTCCTTATCTCTAGATTGTTGGAGTCTTATCACTGTGCGGCAGTCTCTTCCCATAAATCAAGGTTACACAGCTGAGGAGAAAAATCTGAAAAAGGGAATGCAGAAACTCTGCAGACAAGTCCTGCTTTCTGCCATTGGGCAGCTGCAGTACCCAGAGGGGCAGCAGCACTTTTCTCTACAGCTTTCTTCACTTGACTCTAACCTAAGAGCACTTCAGCTGCAAACCTCAGAACATCTCTGAATGAGTCACTGTTACGAATGGAGAACTGAAGTGGTGCTGAAAAACCTCAAGAGCCAAGGATCCTTTTGTGCTAGAAAAGCATTTAGCCATACATTTAAACTTTGCACAGCCAACCAGTTCCAACCCCCTGCTATGTGCAGGTCGCCAACCAGCAGCCCAGGCTGCCCAGAGCCACATCCAGCCTGGCCTTGAATGCCTGCAGGGATGGGGCATCCACAGCCTCCTTGGGCAACCTGTGCCAGTGCCTCACCACCCTCTGGCTGAAAAACTTCCTCCTCATATCCAACCTAAACCTCCCCTGTCTCACTTTAAAACTCTTCCCCCTTGTCCTATCACCATCCACCCTCACAAACAGCCATTCCCCTCCTGTTTATACGCTCCCTTCAAGTACTGGAAGGACACAATGAGGTCTAAATTACATTACTGTCTTCAGATGCAAATTCCATCAATCTGTATCATTAGTATGCCTTCTGTTTCCTTGTACCTTGCTGTCTCTATCACATCATGTCGCCTGGCAGAATGGCACGTGTGAAAATAACCGAAGATCGTGAAGATGATCTTCTGATTCTGTGGGGTAAGAATTAATAGTATAAAAGTCTTGCTTAGAGTAATAAGTATGAGCTTAAGTTCTCTGCCAGTGTTTAAGTACTGTCTAGAATTTCTCTGCTAGAAATAAGATATTAATGAATTAATTACGTATGTAATGAACATGATACAAAATGATCATAAAGGTGCTGAAAGAAGAATGACAATTATCCAGGTGAACTACAAAGCAGAACTGCACTCTGTGATTTCTATGGCTGTCTTGAAGTTTGCTAATTCCTGACATACACAATACAGATAGCAGCACCTTGATCAGCATGACCTCATTATTGGGCTACAAAAGGCAACTCAAAGCAACAGCAGATAGAAACCAAAAGGCCTGCTGCATGGCTTCATGGATGGCAAACCATGGGTGTAAGCAGAGCGTCCAGCGGCCAGTTTCAGGGCACCCATACATGCCTCTGTTTGTAGAAAGGATGAGCCACTAGATGTGCTGAAACTACAAAGCTTTGCCTTCTGCGTTAAGTAATTATTCTCCTGTTTCAGAGGCCAATTGGAAAAAGAGCATTTCTGAGTCTGGCTGCCAGATGCTAAGGGCACTGAGCCTGCAGAATTAAGGTCATTTCCATGGGTGGAAGAGCAGCAAGAAGCCAAGCAGCTTGCTCCACTCCGAACCCCGCAGTGCAGTCCTGTACTTCTGGGCCACTGCTCCAGAAAGCAGCAGCCCCAACTCCATTACCAGCTGCTCTATGGAGCAAACACAAGCTAAGCACTTCTACTGTTGGCCTGGGGCCTGATTGGCTCTGGGCAGCCAGGTCTGCAGGTTGGTGACCCTGCACATAGCAGGGGGTTGGAACTGGATGAGCACTGTGGGCCTTTGCAACCCAGGCCATTCTGTGATTCTATGATTCTATGTAACTTCAGTTTTCAGTACTTGGGTCTTCCAGTTGAATGCAGGGACTGCTGTGCTTGCTTTTGATCTTTTCTCTTTTCCTTCCACGCCCGTGTCTTCTCTCAGAATGGCCCTTCGTAGGGTCATAGTTTAGTGGGCATGGTGGAGAAGGGTCGATGGTTGGACTAGATGATCATAGAGGTCTTTTCCAACCCTAATGATGCTATGATTCTTCCTTTCCAACCTTAAATCTTGATCCTTTATCAAAGTCAACACAAACACGGTGCAATCGCTGTCAACGTAGAAAATGGAACAGAGCCCTTTTTGCAAACAAAAACACCAGTGTCTTTTATGCTGAACTTGTTGTAGTAGTTCTCCCCACCTTTAAAACACCAGCAGCGCTCAAACTGCAACAAGGAGGATGCCCACACTGCAGCCCTGGTGCTGGGCCCCGGCTGCAGCAGCACTGCTGGCTGCCTGTGACACCAGTTTGAAGGCTGGTAGGTGAAAACTGCTCTGCATGGAGCCGTGGGTCAGCGAGGAGAGGCTGCTCTCAGCATCTCAGCCAGACGACTTCGAAGTCGACTTCCTGTTCCTAAGCTGCACTGCAGTCTGCAGTGCAGTCTCCGATGTAAATACGCCCGGAGCCTTTGCACTCCCTTTGAACTCGGACATCAAGAATAAGACAGTTTTAACCAAAGCAAACAAAGCATGGAAAGTCCAAGTAAAACGGCACACGAAAGGGATTTTGGTTCCCACAGCATCCCTGTAACCCTTTAGTTCACTGTTATCCCGTGCACTTCAAGCCATGCTTTCCAGATGCTGAAGTTTAAATCAGGTTACTGTAAGTCTCATCAAAGTCAATGGAAAGCTTTCTGCTGATTTTATGGAATCTAGATTTGTACTTCTCACTGCTATTATTCCTTATTCAGAGGATACAAGAAGATCCCTACACCTTGAATTTCTTGCATAGCCTGCTGTCAAACGTGGCACTAAAAGGGCCGCTCCAGCTCCGAGGCTCTGTCAGTGCAGGTTAACTTCTGAATTTCTCAATTTCAGTCTTTAATGTAAGAAGGCAGTACGAGAACACGCATTTTACCACTCAGAACAGCCCGGGAAATGTGTCCCGGTGCTGGCAGGCCCATCCACCTCAGCCACTCCTCACAATTACTCTCAATCAGTTTCATCTCTGAACCCAATATTAAATTGGAAAGAGAAAGCCTTTGAAATCAGCAGGATTCCTTCTGGAACCTAAAAGCATTTGTAGAAGTGTGTGTGATACCTAACAAACCAACAGGAATAAAAATCACAACCTCTTGCAAATGAAAACGTTTTTTCCAGATATTTCCGTTGACTTCAATGTATGACTCAGAGTTAAACAGAAGAGGGGTTCTGAATCTGACCTCAAATTTGTACAACCCTTTCCCCCCACTTCATTATTTTCATACGAGGAGCACAGCAATCAGATTAGAAATGAAATGCCATCTGTATGTGCCCTTTAAATAAAGTGCTGAGTAGCACTGTATGATGCCTACGAGCTCTTTCAGATGATCTGTGAAAAGCATACTTAAAATTCCTCTTTCAAACTTAATTTGCAGTGGTTTTCCCGCAGTAATGTAATAAATGAGAAAGGTAATTGATTTCAACAGTAAGCAATTACATCCAATGATTTTTCTAGAGCAGATGTCTAATTAAGGGACTGTGAGCCCAGCATACCAAGCGTTAGAATGAAGCCCTGGGTTTGAGGTATTCACACGACAGGAAGATGCACAACTTTCTGTATGCTGCCATGCTGCAGATGCATCACTTGCCACTAACTTTTAACCCTTCCCAGAGGTGCTGCTCTTGAATGCTTGGTTTGGGTGTGAAGGCAGCGAACAGCTGCTGCTCAGAGGAGCAAAGCCACCCGAAGGTGGTCGATATTGATAAACAACATTCTCGGCATGGCTGATCTAAAAATAGCTGTACAAAATTAACAATGAATGATTCGTTAGGAAGATGAGGCACGCACACACACAGATGTCAGTTACATAACCCGCTCTGATACCGGTACGGAGCAAACAGCGGGCTCTTCTTCCAGCTTTGCAAAACACCGTGCAAAGCAGCACATTCCTCTCCCGCATCTCTCTCTGCTAATTAACAGACTGTTTAACTGCGTGCCTTCTACTACTGCAGCAGAACCTCACCTGCCTCCTCACCCTCAACTGCTACGTACAAACTCCTATTGCTCCCCGAGGGTTTATAGGAAGCATCCGTAACAAAAGAATCGGAGCTGCGTACCTGAACCTCTTGGTTGGCAAAGATCTCCACATCGACCCCACAGGCAACCAGAGTAGAGACATCACAGTCCATGCTACGGGCTGGCATCCCCCCCTGGTGCACACAGAGTTCAGCAGCCTCAGGGGATGGAGCGGTGGCAAGAAGGCAGGAAGCTTCGATGCGCTCCTGCTATGGAATGGCCCCAGATTCTGGGCTGGCTCCGGCCAGCTGCTCCCGGCTCCGTGCCTCCCTCACAGCCAGCAGTGAGCAGGCACAGCATAGTAACGCTGTGCACAGCCCATCTCTCACGGCAATGACATCACCGCCACCACTGACATAAGCTACGTCTATTTTTTCAGCCCTTTTATCTCTCGGCAGCACAGTGGATCAAATTGAACATGATTATGTGCTAAATCTGAACTGGGACTAAATCAATTCAAGCAGCGTTCGCTGGCAACTGAGTCATAGCTGTTGTTTCAGCTGAGTGCTTATGTTGGCAAAAAAAGGATCGCCTGACACCGAGAGCTCCGCTCCGAGTGTAAATTAATCCAGCATTTCAAGCTACTGGCCTTACGGTGCCATTCATTACTTCATTATACCTTAAAAACTACAGCAGAGCGCTAACGAAAGACAAACAAGAAGACAGCCAGCGTTCTGCTTTACTAGCTGTCTTTGTCATCAGGCAGGCTGCAGAACACATGAGATCAGTGAGCACTCAGTGCTGTCATCGGGAGCAGTCAGCTTCCTGCACATGGGATCCCATCACTTAAACACACACGTTGCACTGTGACTCATCTTCAGGAAGATCAGAGGCACGTCTGGCTGCGCTTCGAACTCAATGCCCCTTCCAAGAACAGAGCACAGAAATCTCCCTTGAAATTGGGATGTCACACGAAGAACCCTTTGCACCTTCTGCCCTTACAGATGCTCCTTCAGCATCTAGCAAAAGTTTTAGATCCACTGGTTCATTAGGACTGCTTGTGCCTTGTCAAGTGTGCTGTTTGCAGCAGTCAAAGATGTACTGTGAAATAGAAGTCCTGACTTTGTAAATGTTTGGAAGTCGATCTTTATCCAAAAGTTGCAATATTATTTCTGCTCTTACTTTTCATTCTCACGATCCGTAAGTTGCTTTCAGGTATTGCAGCCCCACGTATGACACTGGAAATGGGAAATGGCTTTAAGTTGAGGGAGGGAAGAGGAGCACAGTGTGCAGATCCACTAACAGCAAGAAGACAGCACATCGTGCTGCAGAGAGAATTCATGTATGACCAGTTTCTTGTGTGTTGGTATAAAGAGTTGGACGGATAATGGGCTAACAATAAAAACAAAGCCATCCCTCTGATGTCATTCCCCTGGATGTCAGGGGGAAGTTGTTTGCTGTGAGAGTGGTGAGGTGCTGGAACAGCTGCCCAGAGAGGCTGTGGATGCCCCGTCCATCCCTGGAGGTGTTCAAGGCCAGGTTGGATGGGGCCCTGGGCAGCCTGGGCTGCTCTGAAATGTGGAGGTTGGTGATCCTTGAGGTCCCTTCCAACTCAAACCATTCTGTGATTCTGTGACACTTATGGCCAAGTCAGATTAACAGGCAGAATTAAAATATTTAACTAGTGCAGGGTATCATAGTGAAGAAGCAAACACACTTAGTGATACACAGCTCACAGCACACAGCTCCATGTGACACCATGCACTCACTGAGCCTCACTGCCAGATGCTGCAGTTTGTGCCACTTTGGGAGGGTGCACACAGTTTGCTCTGGATATTCAAAGCCTGTTGTGTAGAACTAGCTCCGATCTTTGCAGAAGCACAGTCAGACAGGGCTGCAGCCTGCTATGTGCCTGCTGAAATTCAGAACAAAGACACCTGCACCAAAATGATG